CGATGATTTGAAAGTATCACTTTTTAAATTAGTTTCAATAACAACGGATGGCACAGCTGCAATGATAGGTCACATAAATGGATTTATAGCCCTATGTCAAAATGAAGATGAATTACCAGCCTTTTTGAGCTACCACTGCATAATTCACCAGCAAGTGTTAGTCAGCAAGAGACTAAACACAAAAGAGGTAATGGACATAGTGTTTAAAAGTGTTAATTCAATTCAAGGAAGTTCCCTCAAACAGTGTCTCTTCCAACTGCAGCTTGATGAAGGCCAACCTGAATTATTACAACATATCGATGTAAGATGGCTAAGCAGAGGTAAATTTCTGCAACGATTTTGTGATTTATTGCCTGAAATAATAGATTTTCTTTGCGAGCAAGATGGAAAATGTGAAAATTTAAATGATGAAACTTGGCTTAGTGTCTTAGCATTTCTTACTGATTTTACTTCAAAATTAAATCATTTAAATTTAGAATTACAAGGTAAAAATAAAACAGTAATTGATATGATCAGCTGCGTAGATGCATATAAAACAAAATTTAGTTTGCTAATAGAAGATCTGCAACAAAATAATCTATATTATTTTCCAAATATGGCAGATAATCTATAAAAACATAAAAATATTAATTATAAGAATGACATATATGTTGTGGAAATCCAAAAAGTAATTGAAGATTTTGTGGTAAGATTCCAAGATTTTGAAAAAATTAAAGACATTGTGGAATTTATATCTTTTCCTTTTAAAAAAGATTTAAGTGTGAAATGCATTAGCCAAAAAATTTCAGACATATTTCATATGCAGCAAAAGGCATTAGAAAATGAAATTATAATTTTACAAACTGATTTAATCTTACAAGCCAGAAAATTGAAGAAGATTTTTGGAAATACATCAACTGAAAAAAATATCCCAGTATCACCAAATGTAGCAAATATATTTATTCTTGTTTCAGATCTACATACCTGTGTGAATTGGCATTTTCATACTTAAAGTTAACAAAGACTAAACAACACTCTCCCCTGACTGATTTTCATACTGAAGACTAATTATTATTATCTTTGTGAGGATATACACCTAAATATGATTCCTTGGTTACAGACATGGAAACTCAGTCCTCCCATTAATGTTAAGATAATAAAATAAATTCTAAATCTGTCTTTATCTGTAGCTAATTTGAATTAATAAATATTGTTAATAATAACTCATGTTGTTTTAATTCCTCTGGACATGAGTTTTTTGGCTTGTTAAATAATTATGTTTTTTATGTAGATAAATATACAGGATGTTTCAGTATGAGGTGCACTCCTGCAAGTTATTGATAGATTAGCAAAAAAAAGTCTAAAAATCTTATATCATTCTTCAATGATAAATTTTCTTGGCTCAAAAAAAAATCTCAAAAGTGAAATCTTAAAATCAAATTATCAGCCACACTGCATTTTTATAACAACTTTTTCATATTTATGAACAAATAGTACTACAACTTATATATTGCAATTGATAAAAAAATTAAATTATGTTTTAAGTTACTAAAAATCTATCTTGAAAAAGTGTCGAAAAATTGAATTTTTTAGGTACCGCCTGTATGGAATGAACTTGTAGCTGCAGATATCAAAAGTTGGGTCTGGAAATTTATTTTCTTTATGAGCCTATATCTCAAACTTAATAAGCAATTTAAAAAATAAAAAATAGTTTTAAACATATATTTTGCTTATTTACCCATTGCTCGTGGAAGTGCACCTCGTACTGAAACACAGTGTATAAACATAGTATAATACATACTATGTTTATACATAGTATGTATAAACACCTCCCCCTCACCACTTAGACTATGCCTATGACAACAAGTCAATCGTGACACACTTTTAATATAAAAAGTAGATCTTATCTACACAAAAGTTGGTCACCCCTGATGTACAACTTAATTGAATTCGATGATGGATACATAATAAAAAGGCATTATGATCAACTATGCCTGTGTGAAATTAACAAACAGACAAATCCTATTCAGATAGGATTTGACTTCAACAAAAAGATAATTGACAGGTGCAACAACATAGTAAACAATAGAGACTTATCCCCAGCTAGTGCTAGTTTACACCCAAGCACAATTAGCTACGACAAAGGAACTGTAATGACTTTACCTAACAAAAAGGAGACAATGACAAAAACAGCTTCTGAACAGGCCCCAGAGAAGGAGGAGGGAGAATCTAGTGGAATGATGACAAACTGAAATGAATCAAAGCCTCAATGATCAAATGAATACAAAGACCAGTACAACGCCTAAATCTTTAAATGAACAAATTTTAAACAACATTTTATTAAGTGTGATTTTGTTAAATTTATGTATGTAAACCTCCAGGGGATAACCCACACCAAATTGCCCCTTGACCTAGTTAGGCGACCCCATATCTTTGACCTTTGTCGTGTTCCTTTGTCTCTGGACAGTTTGTGTTAGCTGTGGTAACACTTAGACCTGGAGACACAAAGTTACATTTGTATTATAATAAAGTTAATTATATACATTATATACAGTCACCAAACTTTTTTCACAATGGGACAGATAACTGAGAGAATGACGAGTGCAGGCCTCATTACCATTTGTTCAATACAGTACACTGAATACACAAAAAATAAAGACAGTCAACATATTTATTTACCAATAAACAAATACGATCACTGCAGCAAGCTTGTAATTGCTTTTGTTAGAAACTCCATTGTAGGTACTTACATAAAAAGCAATCTGATATCCAAAGTCATAAAAAGTTGCTAAAGTTTTTATTTCACTGATTTATCTAAAAATTTTATTACTGTCATATGCAAAAATCAGATTGAACCACTTCTGGCATTTTTACTTACACTTATTATAGGTTTTTCTATGTAATAAGTTTATCTACAAACTATGATATTTTCATATAAATAATTATATTTTACCTCATTTGTGGCACAGTGTGGCAATGGGCCTGATCTGGCCTGTGGGCCATAGTTTGGTGATCCCTGACCTAGGGTTTCATCATCTGAAGGGGCCTCAAAAATTATTTAAAAATTTAGTGAATGATTAAAAAGCTTTAAAAAATTAATTACTATTTAAGGACGTTATTGTCTTTTTAATATAAAAAAAACACTTTAATAACAAAACATAAATGGCCTTATAACAAAATTACACCTAGGGCCTCAAAGAAACATAATATGCTACTGCAGTACATTCATTTATGACAAAAATTTGAGTAATCATAGCTTCTGATCTCCTGCACAAAATCTTTAATTTAGTCTTTCAGGGGCATCACTTTCTTTGACTGTCTGGTCTTTTTGATATTTTGCCACTAGGTTTTTTTTGTTTAAATGACAATATTGATTTGTAAGCATAAAGAAAAAATAACAAAAATCTGTTAATAGAATATACTGTCAGAAATAACAATGCAAACTGGTATAAAACTAATGTTTATTATTTGTGTAAATCACATATTCAAATAACATAAGAAACTGTGAGATAGAATCCACTAGCACAGTATAATGTGTGGCAGTACGCCATGTATTTTGTATATAGTTTATATTTTATTTTAATTAGTTTTACTTTTCCTTCTGCATTCTTTTCTTCCCCCCTTTTTTTCCTCTTTTCTTCCCCCCTTTTTTTCCTCTTTTCTTCGTTCTATGGTCAACCCTCTTTGGAGAGTCTCTCCCCGAAATTCCTTTACTTATTGGCTATCGAAAACACCCTAAAACAAGGGGGGTGAGGTAAGAGGAGATGTAAGAGGGAGGAGAGGGAGGAATGAAGTGAGAAGGAGCGGGAGAAAAGTTTTTGGAGTGTACGTGAGACGAAGGGAGAGTCTGAGAGATGGACAAAGGAATATCCATGATAGACCCATGGAAATTAATTAAACCCCTTAAGCCCCAAGCCCGAGATTAATTAAGGACAAACTTTCACATTGTGACCGCCGACAGTTCTGACTCGAAGGAAAGAAAGAAGGGAGATCCTTCCAACTTTATGTAAGACCCTCATTAAGGACATTGCAAAAAGAAATGATCTTCGCAGGCCTTACATACTAGCATTGGGTATCCCTTTTCTGAGTTCTAACTTTCCTTTGCCTATCCCCTATCTTCTTACCTTAGTTAATATTAGTTTAAGTCTTATTTGTTATTAGTGTTTAAGATAGATTTAGATTTTTGCGTGATGATTTTCAATAATGGTTCTTTATGTTGCGTCCTATGGTTCGGGATTTTGTTTGTGTAACCTTGTTCACTATTCTGATTGTTTCTAACTGTTGGGACATAAAGTTAGCACTGGAATCCTAAAGAAGCCTGTAGTTAAACTTCCAACCTTAATTAAAGTTGTCCTTTTTGTTGTACTTTGATTCCACATGTCTTCCTTAAAGAAGAAAACCACATACATTCACAAATGACAAGTAACATGAATTGCAGTAGAACAAGCTTAAGATAAAAGCATTAAAAACTCATTGAATTGTCTATAAAAAAATAATGAAACAGCATAATCTTTTTGCTAATTAATGAATTTCATGAATATGGAAAATAATTGCAAATACCAAACTGCAAATATGTTAAATTATGAATAAGGAATAAATAAATATGGACTGTACAAATACATTAAATGAAAATATATTATATATAATATATTTGTATTTCTTAGAACGAATATAATTACTTCAAAAAGTATATTTTAGGAAATATCATTGTTAGCAATAGTGACCCTATATTGGGGCACATACTTCCCTTTTTCATCTTGGTTGCCCTTTTCCTAAGTTAGCCCCAAGTGCACCTAGTGCCACTTTATGGGAGCACTGATCCAATGTTAAATCTTAGTTTGAAGCTTCTTGAATAATGTATGATGCCCTTTTTTCATAGCTTGTGTCCCACCTTTTTATAGTCTGTAGGTGCAACTGATTGTTATAAATTGTTCTTTTTATATTTTCAAACTCAATAATGAATTTTATGATTAAAACTATTATAAAAAAACTGAAATTTACTTAATTTATTTTTTTATTAGCTAAATATTTCAGAAATAAATGTAGAAAAACTTGGAAAATAATTCAGAATTTTCTTGCAAGACTTGTCAACGATCCCTTATTTGACTTGATAATTACATTGTCTATAATTCTTAACACAACATTCTTAGCAACTGAACATTTTGGGATGAGTTTAAAGGTGGAAAAAGTTCTTTGTTTAGGAAATTTGGTAACTATAATTTAAAACATAACAAACATAATTATTATATAATTACTAAAATTCTAATTAAATTATTTTATTTGATTTAGATATTTACTGGTATATTTACTATAGAAGCAATACTTAAAATTGTGGCATTGGGTAGACAATATTTTAATAATCAATGGAATGTATTTGATTTTGTTATTGTAATTCTCAGTCTATTAGATCTGAGCTTTGAAAGTGTCAGTGGATTATCAGTTTTGAGAACATTTCGCTTAGTAAGTATTAGTAAATTTTGAAAAATAAATATGTTTTATTAAGTTTTGCTTTAAAATTAAGAATATATTTACTTTCAGTTACGAGTTATGAAACTTGCTCAGTTTTGGCCTACCATGCGTATATTACTAGCAATTATAGCAAGTACTTTAGGAGCAGTTGCAAATATGACTCTCATTTTAACTGTAATTATTTACATATTTGCAATACTAGGTATGCAGTTGTTTGCAGACATTTATACTCCAGAAAAATTTTATCCTGATTCAGTTCCAAGGTTTGTTTTGTTAAATTTTGAATATAAATGATTCAGTGTTAATCTAGTTTTCTTATATTAAGATACAGTGTAACAATGTAATGATTTTTTATTTTAAACATATCAATGTAGATTATACAGTACAATATTAAACAGTACAGTGACACAAAATTTTGTAAAATTTCCATAAAAAGTGAAATATTGTCATTGGAAATATGTAGGAGTAAAACTGCACAGAAGTTAATCAGTCATTATGAAACTTATCACCCTTTATCTTTTTAAAAAAAACTGCTAAATTTAGAAGATTCAAGAAATTTATTGCAAAAACATTCAATCAAACTTTAACTATATTTAATAATCTTCCTTTTTTAAGAATTTCAAAGCATATTTTTAAAATTTTTGTAAGTTTATCCTTAGGTTCATATTTTTAGTTTCTTTGATCACATGCTTCTTTACAATGTTTTATAAAAAAAATATTTATAAATGAATTCTTAATCTTTACTTTTATTTTTTAACTTGCATAAACTATTACTATTATAAAATTTTATAGAATTAAGATTTAAACTTAAAAAGAATTCTATTTACTTTTATTCTAAATCTAGAAATATTGATTTTTTTAAATTTGTTTTTCTATGTTAACTGAAGATTATCAAATTGTCATCAAAAATGTTTCGCATATGAATTTGTCTTTGGTGTGTTTTAGAAATAGATACTGTATTTTTATTTACCCATGGTTAGGCGCGCGGGGTTATATAGAACCTCCGGGGTCTTTAAACGCGTGTATTTTTAAAAATTTTTTGTGCTTAAAAATGATGCCCTCAGTACCTTCCTTCCATGGTGTGAAGATCGCACCGAAAAAATCTCAATTTTGCACGAAAAAATTTTTTTGCATAGACTTACAATGAAAACCAGTCGGGTGCTATAGTACCCCGCGCGCCTAACGGTGTAATTTTTTTTCGCGCGACTAACGGAGGTGGGCCGATCTGACTTCGTGTTTTGAGGGAAAGCTTATTGGTTGATATAGAGTCAGTCATGATAGAAATGACCAATTAGAGCATAAAAGGCGTAAAAACAAAATTTTTAAAGCCAATAAACGGCAAAAAAGTTTCCCATAGACTTAACATTGTCAGTTTGAAAGGTGGCGTTTTTTGGCGATATTTATTGCTAAATGGTGTTGAAAACATGTTTATTCGTCTAAATAATTTCAAGCGACTTATTATTAGCAAATTAGAAGTGGAAAAAAAGATTAAAACAC